TCATCATCATCATCATCATCATCATCATCATCACCTCCATCATCTCTATCATATCATCCGTCCTCGCTTTCCTCAACTCATTGTTCATCCACAGCAAGACAAGTACTCTCCGAGCAAGCAAAGAGCATCTTCTTCCTCCAGGTTGAAAACCTCGGCAGCCCCCTCCTCTGCGGGCGCATCGTGCAATTTTCAGCTCCCTCATGGAAGCCCCAGCTGGGCGGATGGATCGAGCAGATGATCAAGAAGAACAAGGTGAGAACAGGAGGACGAGGACAAGGAACAGGACAATGACGGGATGAGGAAGAGGAAGAAGGAAAGAGGGAGAGGGAGAGGAGGAGGAAGAACGCGCGGTAGAGCAAGACAATGAGGAGGACAAGGAGGAAGAGGAGGATGGGGGAGACAGCAGCAGCAGCAGCAGCAGCAGCAGCAGCAGCAGCAGCAGCAGCAGCAGCAGCAGCAGCAGCAGCAGCAGCAGCAGCAGCAGCAGCAGCAGCAGCGGCAGAGTCGTTCATATCAAGGCAAGCTTTCTCAGAGCAGGAGCTTCTGACGCAGTCCCATCAGCACATGCAGATGCCGAGGTACATGGCGGGGGTCGAGGACATGCCGCATGACGAGGTAGAGCACTGCCTCGACCTCCTCGTCGACTTCGCCAGGGACCTTGTCTACTCCGACATCGCTGATCTCGAGCCCAACCATCTTCGGTTCCGACTGGAGGTTCCCAGCTCCCCGTCAGCTACGTGCTTGCTGACTAGCTCCCCCGGCAGGACGGGCTGTTCGGAGTCGCAGGGCAGTGCAGGAGGCTGGAGGTGACCGTCGCCTCAGCTGGTGTGCAGCTCGAGCCCAGCTGGAGGTTCCTAAGACCCTTGTCGTAGGTCATCTGCAGAAGCTGGACTCTGGAGCCCTTCCCGACACTTTTGTGGTGGCGACGATGCAGAACAAGGTCAGTGACTTGACGTCCGTTGAGAATTGACCGATGTCAAACCTCTAGGCGGTTTTCACCTCTAAAGTGTCGGCGAAGAGGTGAAGCAACGTGATCGATGGACCGGAAGAAGCTGACATTGAGTTCAGCCTCTCGCCAGTGTGGGACGAGAAGTTCCTGCTGCGATCGAGCGCCGATGCGGAGCTGACGTTTGAGTTGTACACCTACAACATGTCGAACGAGCATGAAGTGATCGGAAGGTCAAGATTGACATGCGAAAACCTCAACAACATCCTTCGAGAATGTGGTGTAACGATGCTGAACGGCTCCTTGACCAAGAACTTTCCTCTGTACGCTCCCGAAAGAGCTGCCAAGAACAAGCAGGCGAGAGAGGAGAAGAGGCTGGTAGGGAGCGACGGCATCGGGGCGTTCCTAACGCTTCAGTTTCGATATCATGTTAAGGAGATCAACGATCTTCAGGCGACTCAAGGTCTTCTTTACTGAACTTGTACATAGAACAATCATCTACAACAAACCTCCTCCCGCCATTCCGGGTCAGTTCACGGGAGTTGAGGGCTCACGATACTGTACATACTCTCGTCTTCACTTGACCTTCTGATTTTCCAGCGATCAGATGGAGGAGGGGGGAGAGAGACTTCGAACCTGTTCGAGGAGACTTGAGATTCCTAGTGGTCATCTTCTTTACTTTTCTTTGGAGGATGGAGCTTGTCATGTTGAACAACCTCATTCCTGATCGCTCATGCACTTCAGTCCTGTGTCAGAGAGTCACCAGAACCCGTGGAATTTGATCCTTCAGCATTGATTACTTCTCTTCCTCTTCCTGATTCTCTTCCTCTTCCAACAGATGTGACAACTTTTTCTCCTCTAGAACTCGCTGCATCCAAACTTCAGCATCCCAGCGCCTCTCGACTCCTCTCAGCGACCTTGAAGCAGTTCTGAAGTCTCTCGGGCAGGGTTGAAACAACATGGCGCCTCGGGCTGCGGGCTAGGGAGGGAGCAACGTGAACCAACTCCTTCCCCTCCCTCCATCCTCCCTCACCAACACGGACATCGCAAGGGGGAAACAGCAAGCTCGTCCTCCGCGCGTCTTTTGTGCTGCGATGGGACCTCGGCACCTGAAGCTCGATCATCTCCTCGCTCAAGGGAGCCATCTCAAGGCACCTTGTCGCCCAGCACTATCCTCCGATCATCTTCGCTGCTCCAGTCGTACAGAGCAGCGTCAGTGCTGTCACTGAACGGGTAGACTTCCAGCAGGATACATCGCCTGCCATGGGATCATCCTCTTCGAACCTGCTGGGGTGATAGCTACCCTTGATCAGGAGGGACGAAGACGTCGAAGAGGAAATCGTCGAACGCCATGGCCTTCATCTTCATGTGAAGCTCCTCCTGCTCACTTCGTTCAGAGAGCAGAGGTCACGCATGCTCGGGAGTTCTCTTGTCGCACGTGGAAGAACTTCAAGACTGACGCCTTCACGCCCTGCAGCACCTTGCTGCTCTGCAGCTCGAAGTAGAAGACGGAAGAGTTGAGTTGGGAGATAGCAGTCACCGTCTGCAGCCCGCAAGTCAACACATCGCCGTCAGAATCGCACGTTACCTCGTCGTGGACGAAGCAGCGGAACAGGCGGTGAGGGTGCTCCGAGATGTCAGGCACAACTTTGCGCAGGACCAGACAGGTCGAGAACTTGTCAGAGTCGATGGCTCGAGCTGCTTTCAGCTCCTCCTTCACAGCTCCGTTGCTCAACAGCTGGGCGCAAGTCACAGCCACAAACTCGCGATCTGACGTGTCACCAGGGCAACGGCTTTACTGGCCGGCGAGGCTTCTTGCCGCATGGAGGAATACTGCAGCACCTGCACCTCCACGCGTACGAAGGACATGCAGTCCTCCTCGTTCATGAGAAACCTCCCGACGTCGTTCTGGATGTAGACCATCTGTTGCAACGTCAGCAAACAGCGAGCTGAGAAATTCAGGGACCATCTCGGATCTCTTCGTCGGGTTCTCGGGGAGGGTGATGATGCTGTGTCCGATCTTGAAACTTTCTTCGCCGGACTGAAAGCAAAGTTCCAGCTCGATGTAGAAGTTTGCAAGCTGGAAGTCCTGGTACAGTCTCACGATCTCGTTCCATTCAAGCGTCCCGTTCTTGTTGGCGTCGTACTTCTTGAGGATCATCGTGGCCTCTTCGTTCTGCAGCAAGGTGTTGAACTCTCCGAAGAGTTTCGGCAGGTCGTTCACTGAGATCGAATCGTTGTCGCAAATCCTGTCGAAAGTTTCCTTGATCTCCACCAAGGTCTCTTTCAACACTTTATCATCTGTGAGACGAAACTGAAAGTTCTCCCCCCAAAAGGGACTGTCGTTCCCCTCCATCTTTGCTGTTTCAGTTGTCTCTTCTTGACATCTGAGCTTGATGAAGTACTGGTCCTGAGGTGAAGGCAACGTTGGTAGGAAGCTTGCGCCGTTCAACTGAAGCTCCACAAGCTTCTCGAACTTGGTTTGCGGGTGGATAGCGTTGGTGAACTTCAGACCAAGACGAATTTCGTCCTTGTTCTTCTCTTGCACGCTCACGTTCCAGTGGATAGCTTTCATCGCCTCATTCAATTCATCATCGTTCCAAACTTCCACATCCTGCATGGTTGAACCGAAGACAGAAGCTTCTTCTATGACGCTGTTGAGTGCTTTCATGAAGATATTCTCCATCTCTTCTCTGCTGTTCGAGATGTTCTCTTCAATTTCATTCACACCTGCACTTGTGTCAATTGAACCATCAGGCATGAAGAGACTTAACTTACTCAATGCCTTGCAAGGCCAACATGAAAACATGTTCTTCTTGTCGGGGTTGACAATCTCAACTCTCACCAACGAACCGTTGAGCAGCATTCGCTTATGTTGCCGATGTATCATGATGATCTGAACATGTCCAACTCACTGTCTTTGTCTTGCAGCAGCTCTAACAAGTTCCATCCGACTTACCGGCAGAGGAAACTGGCGAGCTTTTGCCTTTGAATCCGAGAAGAAATCCTGCGAGAAGTGTTTCTCAGATGCGATGGTGTGCTGGGAAAACAGAATCGCGCGAGCTCCGCAGTCTGAAGCGTTTTGAGCCTGTTCTAAGAAGTTGTCCTGATCAAAGTCGATCACCACCACCTTGCCGGAGACATCGTTCAAGATCTCTGGAAGAGAATTGTCTGGCCATGACCGCACCACCTCACCAGCAAAGTCTCTGTACTCTCCGAAGAAGGCCCACATTCCGGCTACCTCGACCTCACTTTCATAGTCGTCTGCGCTGCCAAACTGCCTCCCGCTGACGTAGGAGGGAGGCATGGAGGATGAGACGATGCTGACTCTGTGCGACAGGGACGAAGCCTCTGACTTGCTTATGTGCAGCATACTTCTTGCCTTGTGCTCAGCGCTGGTCTTGTCATTCATGAGCTTGAGGTACTCCTGCAACGTCACCTTGCCCGAGCTCTTACTCCCATACCTCTCCACGAGCTCCTCGCAGTCCTCGAGGTCCTGCTGGACCCCCACCAGCAACAAGATCCTCTGCAGCTCCTGCTTGCCGATCATGCCGGAGTGACTCAAGTCTTCGGTCAGGAAGAGGTCCCGTCGCATCGCCTCGACCGTTCGCGGATCATCGGGATGGTTCATGTCGTACCTGAGGCCCTTGCAAGGGACGAAGGAGAAGGGAGTCTGCACTTGTACCTGCCTCGAGGCTGTGTACCGCCGAATGATCCTTGTTTCCACCTCTCCTCCTCCTCCCGGCACTTGGATGGAGATGGAGTGGTCGCGGTAGTAGTTCCAGACCTCTGGTCCGTCCGACACGATGAAGTTCTTCTGCAAGGGCTCTACCGGGCCTTCAAAGAGGATGCTTCCTGTTATCCTGCTCCAGTACGCCTCACACTCCCTGATCGCTCTGCGCGAGAGAAACGAGCGGAACGCTCGCTGAACAACCTCGACGGCAGAGCTCAATGATTCAAACGTGGGGATGATTGTTTGGATATGCAACTTCGCGATATGGTGGGTCATGGCATGGTTGAGTGCAGAATCAAAGATCTGCTGGGTTCTGAGATTGACTTCACGATCAAGGAAGTATGAAAACTTCTTTGAAATCAGCCATGCGAAGTATTCATGTTCAAATTCCATGGGCTCCTTTCCTTGCGTCTTCTTTTGATTTTCTCCAAGTTTGGGGTTTTTCTCGACAGCAGCGATCAACTCTACGAACATCGCTTTGACATCCATGAACTCTACAATACAAAGCTGCAATCAGAGGCAGACAACACCGATATCAAAATCAGAGCATCACCTTTGTCAAGAGAGTTCAGTTGCTGATGCAGACCAGAAGTCTCTGCGTCACTCAAATGCTGAATGAAGACGTCACAAGTCTTTTGAAACTGTAGGTTCAGAACGCTGAGCGCATCTTTGCGATCCTTACCCACCACCTTTGAGTTGAGCAGCAGATCAACAAATCGCTCTGTCTTGGACAGCCCGAGATACGCTTCACAATTTGCACGCAAGACAAAGTAAGGAGCAGTGTACTGATAGTCAAAGTTGAAATCCATCTCGAAGATTTCAAATCGCTTCGAGTCATTGGTGTCGACACGAATCTTGAAGCCTGTATTCCTCTTCTTGTTCATATTGAGAGCGTTCTTTCTCGAGTTGAGAGTGACAGCAGCAGAAGACATCGAGAGCAAGTCATCGTTGTGGGAGGTCGACCTGCTCCTTCTGCTGCTGATGGATCGAGAGATCAACGACTTGGGCTCTTCACTCTCTGCAACATTCGACTCGAACTTGGACGTGACGTCATCACTGTCTCCGAAGGTCTCTATGAACCGCAGAATCTCACCCTCTATACGAGCCACCAGCGTCTCCTCCAACTTTTGCTGGTCTGCCTTGAGCAGGGCGTCGATTTCAAACTTGCTGAGAGGAATCAAGATGGTCTCGAACACATCGTCCTCAAACCCATGCACCCAGCTGCTGACTTTGAAGGGTTGACTCAAGATGAACTTACTACACACTTGTTGCATGTTGGGAGCAACCTTACGTGTTTGCAAGATGTCTGATATCATTGATGCCAAATCTTTGCTCTGAGGAATGACGTCTTCTTGCATCAGCCCATGGTGTGGATCTGCAATCTCGCTTCCAACCCCAGCTTCAGCAGGCGACACTAAGAAAGAACCTCAAGCCTTTCATACCTCTCAGTGAAGATCCTCGACCTGAAGTTTTCGCTCAACGACGAGTCAGCCAATCGGAGCATGAACTTGACCCTCCTGTCGTTGTCCAGGTATGTGTCCACGATCTCCGCTGGTTGCAACTCGCTGGCGTTCTGCTTGAATACCTTCAACAGAATTTTCTCTCCACTCTCAGGAATTTCTGCGCAGTCAGACATCAAATTCAACAAGATTATGGAGAACAATGTTCACTCTTCGATGGCTTTGACTTCGCTTCATCATATGCCATGTAGACTTTAGAAACACTGACATGTCCTTGAAAGAATCACTTGATATGACATGCTTTTCTCTCAAACTTACCCACGTCTCTCCTGTCAAGATCGCGCAGAGAGACCTCTAGCGAGTCTTGAAGAGTGACATCCAGATATCCTGGGAAGCGAGCAATCAGCAGCAGCAACTCGAGAGTGTTTGTTCATACTCGAGGAAACTGACAGCAGCGATTCAATGTAAACCCTATCTGTCGCCCTCACACCAGCAGTCTTGAGGATTTCATCCATCTTGGAAGCGGTCAACAAGAAGAGAGGTCAGTCCGATATCAGACAACCTCCTGGTGTCTCTTGACTATGGCAGTCTTGTGCTGTAGTTGCTTCTCCAAAGTCATCACGTCAGCTGGCGTTCGATGACATCGGATGTCATCTTTCTCCTTGTTCGCCTGATTCACTTGTCAAGCTGGTTGTGAAGGAAACATCCATTACTGGGGCCTCAATTCCCATTCTCCGATGAAACTCATTCCGATCTGACTGCTCGCTCCTGCAGTTCTCAGACGATGAGAGGAGATTCGAGATCGTTTTACACTCTTTACCTCAAAATCTCTTGAAACTGAGAGGATGGCATCTCAAATGAAAGCTCTTTTACGTGCTACGAATCCCGAAAGCTCCGATTCTTCCTGCATGTCTGTTCATGTGATGAAACAAAGGATCATGAACAGGATCTTGGTACAGCTGCGAACTTGCATATCAACTGTCATACCTTAGATGATCTTCCTCGAATCTTGAGTCCTCGTCAGATCGTTTGGTCGAGTCTGGATAGCATCGCGCTCATCCTTCGATGTAGCATGCTGGGGCGACGACCTCGTCCTCCTCTTCTTTATCGCCTTCCATGCTCCTTCTCTTCCTCCTCACTTCCTCATCGCCTGCCTTCTCCTCCTCTTCCTCCTCCCCTCCTCATCGTCTGCCTTCTCCTCCTCCTTCTCGCCCTCCTCCTCGAGCCACCAGTTCTCGTAGCTACCGGCCCATGTCGGAACCCAAAGAAATTGGTGGATGAGGGGGCCCGGGGAAAGGGAGTTAACCCCGCAGCTAGACGGACCCCCTCAGCCTCCCAGAGATTAAAGGCAATACCCCTGGTGGGTACTTGGTATTGGTGGGGTACAATCAGAGGGCAAAGGAGGGGTGGGGAAGGACGGCCTTTGGTGTGAGCTGCCTTGATGGCAACCAGTAGCGCGATGGTTGTGTTGGTGCGTCCCCTCCTCCCCTCGCCGCTCCTCGCTAGTCCCTCCCTCTCCTGAGCTCTGCCGCCTGCTGACCCCCAGCCGCCGCTCTTGCCTGTGCGATGTGCACAAGGTCTCGGTAGAGGTGGTGTATCAGCTCTCGCGCGCGCGATCCGGGTGAGTCTGTACAAGCGTCAGAGGGAGGAAGGAGATGAAGAGCGAGGGCTAGCTTCTCTTGGTCGCAGGAGAGATGAAGCTCTCTGTCATCTTGCTGCATGCCGTGATCGGCTCGCTTCTTCCGTTGCATGCGTCCTCGCAGTGTGAGCGGCTGCTGGAGCAAGGCTTCGGCGGGGGAAGCTTCATCCATGGGAGCATATCATGGCGGCGGGTGTCGATGAACACGGTGGAGTTTGAGGTGATAAGCACGTGGCGGCGGAAGTTCGCGTGGCCTTGCAACCAGCAAGGCTTCAGCGGGAGGGACGGTTGGCCAGCGCCAGGGGACCGAGTGCTGACAGCAGGGCTGGGGTACAAGGAGGATCAGAGTCAAGGGGAGACGGTGGGGATCAGCTTCGAGACAGGAGACGGGGCGAGGTATCCTTTCTGGATGAGGGTGGACTCAATCTCAGTAGAGGAAGACTGGATGATGGGCACGTTTCGAATGAATCATACCTACCAAAGGGGCTATGAATCATGCTCAAGTAACCAGTCAACTTCACCTTACATTTGCAATCCATGGACAGCGAGGCTGGCAGGGTGCTGCCGGTACAACTACTCCGGAAGCTTCGCGATAGAGTCGCAGGTCGACCTCTCCAGCTTCAACGCCTCGTTTCGGATCGTGACCATGCCCGTCGTGTTTGCTCCGGTCGAGGCGAGCACGCGAGCGTCTACGATATGCTTCATACCTCGGTCGGGGATGGTGTCGAGGAGCGGGGGGACCGTGGGCTATCCGCTGGACGACTACGTGTATCAGAACGCGTCCTGGTCGCTGGTGGGATCGTACGCAGGTCAGGTCGGCTTGCTGTACAACAGGTCGGCGATGGGGGAGTACTGCGTGGGACTGGAGGTGCAGCCAGGTACCGGGATGGCAGTGACGGTGATGCTGAGCGTGGGGAACCTCAACTCGACATGCGAGCTTCAGGTCAGGGCGGCGAGCGCGAGCAGCCGCTTGCCGTCCAACACGACGCTGAGGTGTTGGAGCGAGGAGTGCGCGTCGCACATGGAGGTGTTTTTCGGGTACGACTTTCCCCGGCTGTACCCCGGGGAGATCGCGAGGGCGATGGCGGACATGTATGCAGAGAACAAGGACGGGAGGCCTCTGGAGGTGCGGTACAGGTTTGCCAGCAAGGAGCTGGCGAGCGCGGTGGTGTCGTCGGACAGCAGGGCGGTAGAGAGCTTTTACAGCTGGAACCTGTCAGAGGCTGGGCTGCACTCGAGCTTCACGCTGAACCACTTCAGCACGCCTGAGGACACGTACGTGACGGACATACACGTGCTCTACTCGCAAGCAGTCGACCAGGCCCAGCTGCCTCTGTACGGCAGCTTGTCGTCTGCATCACCGACGCCGGGAGAGTACACTGTGAACGTGACGTCGGTGTTCACGACGTTCCCGGCGAACGTGCTGGTGCTCTCACCCGACCCGAGCAGTCAGAGCTCTCATGGCTGGTCCTTCATGTACTCCAAGACGCTACTCCGCCTGACCAAGCTGAGCATGTCGACGGACGCGTACGAGCTGCGAGCTATCACAGACATACGACTGGTGAACAGCAGCAAGGAGGCAGAGCCTTTGCTGCGAGAGGGCTACGTGATGCTGGGGGAGAACCTGCTGGGGCCGGGGTCAGTCGGAGAGATCTACTTGCTGTACAAGCGGGGCACGGACCCGCCAATCATCAATGTCTCGATCAGCAACATCAGCGGATACAGCGCGGTAGGAGAGGGGAAGGGGGAGAGGAGGGGAGAGGAGGGGAGAGGAGGGGAGGAAGAGGGGCACCAGAGTACATGTATGCGAGAAGAGGGATTGGGAGGGACGGGGGGCCCAAGGGAGAGGAGGAGAGGGGCACAGAAGCGGGGCGGGGAGTGACGCAGGATGTTGGCCGCAGGTAGAAGCTTCCTCCTATTTACCAGCAGTGGGAGCAAATACGCAAACGGAATATAGAGTAGTGCTGTACTACCTGAAGAAGCCGCTGAGCTCTCTGTCGATGAGCTTCTTGTGGACGCCTTGCGAGGCTGACGTGGGAGTCTACGTGATCTGCGCTCAGCTGGTAGACTCGTTGAGCGGTAAGACGTGCGGGCGGTAGGAGGGAGGAGGCTGACATGTGGTCGTGTGTGCTGGCACGTCAGGTGGAGGCGGCAGGACCCAGTGCACGTCGGTGACGGTCGGTCGAGCTCCTGCGCCGTACACGGAGGCGCTGCCGGTACAGGTAGCGACGATGGGAGAGGAGGTAGGAGGAGAGGGCGGGGGCGGGGGCATGGGAGCTGAGGAGATGGTGAGCAGCAACGGATCGTCTTCACGGTGGCGCGGCAGGACCAAGGCTTTGCCGAGTACTACAGGCTGCCGTCGATCCGTCTCTCGCGCATCCTGTAAGCTCAGAGGCTGGCGGGCTAGAGCTGGGGGCAGGGAGTGACGGGGCGGACGGCAGGGGGAACGTGCCGTCGCGTGTGGGGAACCTGACCACCTTTGAGCCGCTGCATCCTGTGGTGGAGATGCGGGTCAACGGGGCGACGACGATGACGCTGAGCAACGTGAGCGTCTTCGAGAACAAGACGCGGCTGGACGGGTCGAGGTACTCCTTCCAGGGGCTCTACAACGGGAGCATCGTGTGGACCCCGAGCCACCAGCTCAGCGGGTGGCAGGGAGCGATGTGCCTGACGACGTGCGTGTACCCGTTGACCTGTCGGGGGTGGAGCCGGGAGAGGAGGGCGGAGTGCTCGGAGTACTGCATCCCAGTGAGGGTGGAGCGGTGCAAGTGGTACGTGTCGCGGGCACAGACGTACACGGAGATAGCGGGGCTGTTCTCGACGAGCTCGCTGCTGGTACGAGACGAGAGGGGGGAAGAGGGAGGAGCTGACAGGGATGGGCAGCTCTGGTACATGAACCCAGTAAGGCAGTCCAGTCTGCATTACGACAACTTTCAAAGCTTAACGCCAGGTTACAATTTTATGTTCTACCCTGGAGAGGTAGGAGGAGGAGGAGACGGGAGGGAGGAGGAGGGGACGGGAGGGAGGAGGAGGGGACTGAGACAGGCTGTGCAGACGATCAATGTTGGAAGGTTGTTTCATTCGACTGGAAAGAATGTATGAGCGACTTGAGGTCGTTGTCTTGTGTCTTACCTATCACCTCAGGTTTCCCATGTAGCTGCTCTGTTCAGCATCGGCACCTCGGACATCTTGAGGATGAACGTCGACCTCAACTCCAGCGTTCTCAACAGCGACAAACAATTAAATCAGGTACAGGAGTAGGCAGGTATGTTGCGATATGATCTTACGTGCTGGAACAGGATCTTTGTATAGTACCAAACATATGCATTTTCAAATGATGTTCCCCGTACAAGTTGTTTAGATCGACGATTTGACATGGGCTGGAATGAGGAAATGAGCTCTTGTAAATGATTAGCTGAAACACTCGTGTCTGTGTCTTGTTACATTTATTTTCTGTTTCTACACTAGATTCAACCATCTCGCCAAATTCTTTCCACAATCAGAGCGTGCGATCTTACATGGAGATGCTAGGATTGTTCAAGAGGGAAACCAAGTGCGATATACACAAAGTTGCACTGATCGAGGGTTTTCTTCATTTCTCTGTACATAGAAAAGATTCCCAACTGCAAGGTCATGAGACCGTCAGCGCTGATCCTTCTGCTCGCACATTACAACATCACGCACACGTTTGGTACTATACAAAGATCCTGTTCCAGCACGTAAGATCATATCGCAACATACCTGCCTACTCCTGTACCTGATTTAATTGTTTGTCGCTGTTGAGAACGCTGGAGTTGAGGTCGACGTTCATCCTCAAGATGTCCGAGGTGCTCATACCAAAGTATTGTGCGACATCAAAAATCTGAGAGACTTTCAGTCGAACATTGAAACATCTTTCACACTTGTACATTCTCATACTCTGACAGATACTTCCGACCAACATTGATCGTCTGCGCAGCCTGTCTCAGTCCCCTCCTCCTTCCCCCCGTCTCCTCCTCCTACCTCTCCAGGGTAGATCATAAAATTGTAACCTGGCGTTAAGCTTTGAAAGTTGTCGTAATGCAGACTGGACTGCCTTACTGGGTTCATGTACCAGAGCTGCCCATCCCTGTCAGCTCCTCCCTCTTCCCCCCTCTCGTCTCGTACCAGCAGCGAGCTCGTCGAGAACAGCCCCGCTATCTCCGTGTACGTCTGTGCCCGCGACACGTACCACTTGCACCGCTCCACCCTCACTGGGATGCAGTACTCCGAGCACTCCGCCCTCCTCTCCCGGCTCCACCCCCGACAGGTCAACGGGTACACGCACGTCGTCAGGCACATCGCTCCCTGCCACCCGCTGAGCTGGTGGCTCGGGGTCCACACGATGCTCCCGTTGTAGAGCCCCTGGAAGGAGTACCTCGACCCGTCCAGCCGCGTCTTGTTCTCGAAGACGCTCACGTTGCTCAGCGTCATCGTCGTCGCCCCGTTGACCCGCATCTCCACCACAGGATGCAGCGGCTCAAAGGTGGTCAGGTTCCCCACACGCGACGGCACGTTCCCCCTGCCGTCCGCCCCGTCACTCCCTGCCCCCAGCTCTAGCCCGCCAGCCTCTGAGCTTACAGGATGCGCGAGAGACGGATCGACGGCAGCCTGTAGTACTCGGCAAAGCCTTGGTCCTGCCGCGCCACCGTGAAGACGATCCGTTGCTGCTCACCATCTCCTCAGCTCCCATGCCCCCGCCCCCGCCCTCTCCTCCTACCTCCTCTCCCATCGTCGCTACCTGTACCGGCAGCGCCTCCGTGTACGGCGCAGGAGCTCGACCGACCGTCACCGACGTGCACTGGGTCCTGCCGCCTCCACCTGACGTGCCAGCACACACGACCACATGTCAGCCTCCTCCCTCCTACCGCCCGCACGTCTTACCGCTCAACGAGTCTACCAGCTGAGCGCAGATCACGTAGACTCCCACGTCAGCCTCGCAAGGCGTCCACAAGAAGCTCATCGACAGAGAGCTCAGCGGCTTCTTCAGGTAGTACAGCACTACTCTATATTCCGTTTCCGTTGAATTTGCTCCCACTGCTGGTAAATAGGAGGAAGCTTCTACCTGCAGCCAACATCCTGCGTTACTCCCCGCCCCAACTCCAGCCTCCCAATCCCTCTTCTCGCATACATGTACTCTGGTGCCCCTCCCCCTCCCCTCCCCTCTCGATCTCCTCCTCTCCCCCTTCCCCTCTCCTACCGCGCTGTATCCGCTGATGTTGCTGATCGAGACATCGATGATTGGCGGGTCCGTGCCCCGCTTGTACAGCAAGTAGATCTCTCCGACTGACCCCGGCCCCAGCAGGTTCTCCCCCAGCATCACGTAGCCCTCTCGCAGCAAAGGCTCTGCCTCCTTGCTGCTGTTCACCAGTCGTATGTCTGTGATAGCTCGTAGCTCGTACGCGTCCGTCGACATGCTCAGCTTGGTCAGGCGGAGTAGCGTCTTGTAGTACATGAAGGACCAGCCATGAGAGCTCTGACTGCTCGGGTCGGGTGAGAGCACCAGCACGTTCGCCGGGAACGTCGTGAACACCGACGTCACGTTCACAGTGTACTCTCCCGGCGTCGGTGATGCAGACGACAAGCTGCCGTACAGAGGCAGCTGGGCCTGGTCGACTGCTTGCGAGTAGAGCACGTGTATGTCCGTCACGTACGTGTCCTCAGGCGTGCTGAAGTGGTTCAGCGTGAAGCTCGAGTGCAGCCCAGCCTCTGACAGGTTCCAGCTGTAAACGCTCTCCACCGCCCTGCTGTCCGACGACACCACCGCGCTCGCCAGCTCCTTGCTGGCAAACCTGTACCGCACCTCCAGAGGCTTCCCGTCCTTGTTCTCTGCATACATGTCCGCCATCGCCCTCGCGATCTCCCCGGGGTACAGCCGGGGAAAGTCGTACCCGAAAAACACCTCCATGTGCGACGCGCACTCCTCGCTCCAACACCTCAGCGTCGTGTTGGACGGCAAGCGGCTGCTCGCGCTCGCCGCCCTGACCTGAAGCTCGCATGTCGAGTTGAGGTTCCCCACGCTCAGCATCACCGTCACTGCCATCCCGGTACCTGGCTGCACCTCCAGTCCCACGCAGTACTCCCCCATGGCCGACCTGTTGTACAGCAAGCCGACCTGACCCGCGTACGATCCCACCAGCGACCAGGACGCGTTCTGATACACGTAGTCGTCCAGGGGATAGCCCACGGTCCCCCCGCTCCTCGACACCATCCCCGACCGAGGTATGAAGCATATCGTAGACGCTCGCGTGCTCGCCTCGACCGGAGCAAACACGACGGGCATGGTCACGATCCGAAACGAGGCGTTGAAGCTCGAGAGGTCGACCTGCGACTCTATCGCGAAGCTTCCGGAGTAGTTGTACCGGCAGCACCCTGCCAGCCTCGCTGTCCATGGATTGCAAATGTAAGGTGAAGTTGACTGGTTACTTGAGCATGATTCATAGCCCCTTTGGTAGGTATGATTCATTCGAAACGTGCCCATCATCCAGTCTTCCTCTACTGAGATTGAGTCCACCCTCATCCAGAAAGGATACCTCGCCCCGTCTCCTGTCTCGAAGCTGATCCCCACCGTCTCCCCTTGACTCTGATCCTCCTTGTACCCCAGCCCTGCTGTCAGCACTCGGTCCCCTGGCGCTGGCCAACCGTCCCTCCCGCTGAAGCCTTGCTGGTTGCAAGGCCACGCGAACTTCCGCCGCCACGTGCTCATCACCTCAAACTCCACCGTGTACATCGACACCCGCCGCCATGATATGCTCCCATGGATGAAGCTTCCCCCGCCGAAGCCTTGCTCCAGCAGCCGCTCACACTGCGAGGACGCATGCAACGGAAGAAGCGAGCCGATCACGGCATGCAGCAAGATGACAGAGAGCTTCATCTCTCCTGCGACCAAGAGAAGCTAGCCCTCGCTCTTCATCTCCTTCCTCCCTCTGACGCTTGTACAGACTCACCCGGATTGCGCGCGCGAGAGCTGATACACCACCTCTACCGAGACCTTGTGCCCATCGCGCAGGCAAGAGCGGCGGCTGGGGGTCAGCAGGCGGCAGAGCTCAGGAGAGGGAGGGACTAGCGAGGAGCGGCGAGGGGAGGAGGGGACGCACCAACACAACCATCGCGCTACTGGTTGCCATCAAGGCAGCTCACACCAAAGGCCGTCCTTCCCCACCCCTCCTTTGCCCTCTGATTGTACCCCACCCATACGAAGTACCCACCAGGGGTATTGCCTGTAATCTCTGGGAGGCTGAGGGGGTCCGTCTAGCTGCGGGGTTAACTCCCTTTCCCCGGGCCCCCTCATCCCCGCCCGGCCTCGGACTGGAGTCACGGTCACGAGTCACCGTCGGTACAGTACTGACGGTCGGGGCCCGGGTCCGGCCCGGCCTGTACTGGCAGCCGGGCTGGGTCATCCGAATAGTGCTGGTCATTCAAGTAGTGTTGGTCGACCGAGGGTGAACGGCGGTGCCTGGCCAGCCCGGCCGGGCCATGACGGAATACAAGTTTGTTAGACTTGTACTAGTCCAAAGTCACGCAGATATCACGTGACATCGACCTTAGTTGTAACAAGACAGTTTTTGCTCAAGACCGAGTTTAATGCACACAAAACCAGAATTGAGGAGCACATGAGTGATAGACTGTATGCTAGGATGTGAAACCCAAGCATCCAGACATGAGAGGACCTTAGCAAGCTGAGACGGCTAGGAAAAGCCCCCTCTTCGTCCCACACTGTCACACGCTACATGCCGCCTCGCAAAACACGTAAGTCGTCTTGGTTTACAGGAGAGTTTTTGTTCCATCAGGCCAGTCCGTGGCAAACACGGTACGGTAGCCTGCGTCATGCCGGTCTCCGAAGTTACGCTCGCAGTGCCGGGCGGCCTGGCGAGGATCGGACGCTCCGACTGAGTCCGAGCGACCACGAGATGATCATCCGAGTACCGTACGGGAGCTGGAGTTTAAATGGCCGTGCCGCTGTGCGGGCAGGCGAACCCCAGGGCCTTCCGCACGATCACGGTGGCCCGGTGTCCGCCGCGGCATCCGCCGCGGCGGCTGGCCCGGCTCGGCGCCGGTCGCCCCGAACTCACAGTCGGGGCCCGGCGACCGTGACGGTGACTGAGGTGGGCCCGGCGAGCCTGAGTGAGGCCTTCACTATTGGCTGTGTAAAACCGTTTTTTCTTCGTAATTTTTCTTTCTTGCCTTTTTTGTGGGGGGCCGAAAATCATGGCAGGATCCGCAGGGCAACCAACCGCCATGGGGCGATGGAGAGAAACGAGAATGGCGCTGTCGCCATGCTCTTCATCGTCAGCTTCACCTCGATCATTGTCTCCATCCTGTTCAGCATCATCGAGAGCAGCAGCGTTCCCCTCTGATCCCTTGTCCTGCTTTGTCTCCCTACCCCTCAAGTTCGGGCAAGTTTCGGCTCAATGCAGGACCAGTCGTTGTAGCCGGACGATGAAGACTCGAGGAGGCAACAAGACAACGAGGAGATGTCTGATCACTTGCAAGCAGCAGGCACCCGTAGATGCCATGCGCTTCCTGCAGAGGGCTCCCCTGATGCTCTTGCTGGCCTTCTCTATGTACCTGTTCAACCCAGCAGTCGCTCCAGCAGAGGAGAGCAAGGACATGAAAGATGCAGAGCATGCGCTGCTGTTTGAGGCGATGGACGTGGTCGACCGTCACTTCATCGACCTCTCCAACAAGGAAGGCGTCGCGCGGAGCAGCGAGCTGCATGAGTACAACAGCGTGTCATGGGAGGGGTTGAAGAAGGAGCTGGAAGAAAAGAAGCTCGAGAACAGGAAGGAGACGTACAAGGAGATCAAGAAGGTGTTGAAGAAGCTGGGCGATCGCTACACTCGCTTCCTCCCTCCCTCCGAGTTCGTCAAGCTTACCAAGTACGATGCTACAGGGGTTGGCCTCGCGGTCAATCAGGATGAGCAGGGGCTGCTGATCGGGTATCCTCCGCTTGCTGGATCTACAGCTGCTGATGCAGGTGAAGATGAGAGAGGGAGGAGACGGGGCAGCGGAGGAAGGAGAGGGGAAGGATGAGAAGGAGGATGGAACGAGGAGAAGGAGGAGGAGGAGGAGGAGGAGGAGGAGGAGGGAAGGGGAGAAGAATGAGAGGAGGTGAGGTGATACGGGAAGGGGGGGAGGGGAAGAGAGATAGATCACAAGAAGCGAATGTCTCTCGTTTCCGCTCATGGCATCCGCAGGAGTGCAGAAAGGCGATCGACTCGTGAGCATCGACGGGGTCGCCATGAAGGGGCTGACGCCGTTCGACGCCACTGAAATGCTGCAAGGAGTGAAGGGGAGCAAGGTGAGGAGGGAAAGTGGAAAAGGAGGAGGCAGGAGGAGGTAGGAGCGAGAAGGAGGAGGAGAAGGAAGTGGTGGGGGTGTTTGGGGTGGTGGAGGAGGAACATGAATGAGCAGGAGGACGAGGGGGAGGAAAGCAGTGTTGCAAGAGGAGTAGAAGAGGTTGACGATGTTACAGGTTTCCATCGAGGTCGAAAGGAAGACAAATGAAGGTGAAACTTCAATCGAATCTCTGCTCCTCCTCTCATCTCATGTCCACATGCTCCTTCCGTAAAATTTCTCCGTCTGTTCTCTCGTCCTCGGCCTATCCACGTCCTCCTCGTCATCCTCATCCTCATTCTACTCCTCTTCTTTGTCGTCCTCGTCCTCGTCCTCGTCCTCGTCCTCGTCCTCGTCCTCGTCCTCGTCATCCTACAGCAATGACTTCGCCCATCACTGCCGTTCTTCTTGTTCATCGCTCCCTCCACTCTCTCACTCAAATTGCGTCATCCTCCTGACTCTTTTCATACAGGCCAAAAGATAGTCTCTTTCGAGCTTGAGAGAAAAATTTCGGTTGAGAACCCGGTACAGAGAAATAAGAAGATTTTGTTATACCACCCCAATCCCTCCCTCCTACATCCCTTCCTTCAACCCCCCCGCCCTCCCTCCTCTCTCCTCCTCTCTCTCCTCCTTTTCCTCCTCCGTCCTCTCCTTCTTAGTCGCTTTTCCTTGCATGATCTTCACTGACCCACCGTTCTGGCAGGTTTCTTCTACCATCTTTGAGAGCCAAGACGGGAAGAAGGTATAGGAAAGGAGCGAGTGGGTGGAGCAAGAGATCGAGGAGGAGGAGGAGGAGGAGGAGGAGGAGGAGGAGGGGGGGGGGGGGGGGGGGGGGAGGGAGGAGCCGGGGGGGGGGGGGGGGGGGGTGTTGTTACATGTTCTTGCGGCTAAAAAAGGGGGGAGGAG